ATTAGTTACTGAAACCAGTCAGTTCAGATTCCAGAAACCAGGAAGTGTAAAAGTACAGAGTCACAAGATAGTCACGAGGTAATGCCTGCCAGACTATGGAATGTCCTCTCCCTGGTTTCCAGGGTAACTGACCACAGAAATGCCCCCATCTGAGGGCAGCCAATGAGAAATGGTGGCGGGCAACCACTCCCTTAGAAGTAATTTCTAGAAATCCCTAGACGTGAGCCAATCAGAATTGTATCCATACTAGTACCCCTAAATGATGTAACCTTGTGACTTTTCCCTTTAAAAGTTGAGCTTGCAGACAGGTGGGCGCTTCCTCCAGCCTCCACTGCGTTGGATGTATTGGACGAAGTCCCTGCCTAGGCTTGTATTGCTTTTGGATATCCAGAATTAAACCTTGCTTTTGCATTCCAGCATGCTCATCTTTGGTGGTCTCTCTGGGGGTCACGATCTGGGCACAACATTCTAACTAGGCAGCACCACTGCTTCAGACACAGTTCAACTTTATTTCCTTCCCAGAAAGGACTTTTCTCTGGTAGGAAAGCTTTTCTCAGATTTCTTTTGCAGCTATGGACCTATCAACCCAGGAAAGCAGACAACTGTGCCATTCCCACCAGCTTTAGCTTTGTTTGTTGATTTGAAATCTTCCCCTGGGTCCTGCACCTTCCTGCCTCAGCTCTGTGCTCTAGGAAGTTTACAATTGTAGTAACCCTAGTATCCCCAATAAGCCCTCCAACACGGGAGATGCTGGCCAGTCGCCTCTGGGTTTTTTGTCAGATGCGAGGATAGGATGCTTCAGGGGATCTTTGAGTTAGGAGGATTAGGAGCACCTTTTCATTGATGATCACTCAAACAAAACCCTTGATTGCCTCAGCTCAGCTGTAACTGAAAAGCTTGGCTTTTTGCTTTTCTCGGGTAAACAGTTTCCTGCCCTATTGGGCTCTTTGTGGCTTTTAACCTACACTCACCAGAGGGTTTCCCTCAGGGGACTTTGACCCACTGTCTTTTACTAGCTTGAAAAGACAGAGCTTAGAAGGGGTTTCTTAGGAAATTAAGACCTGCCTCCTGCATTGCAGGGAGGATTTTTAATGCTTGAAAAAAAGAACTTAGAGAGGTTTTGCTGTCTTAAGAGGTTTGTTGTTTTCCCTTAGAGCTAATCACAGGTGATTCCCATACTAACATCTTCAGGTGATTTTAATTTTAAAGTTAAAGGCTTAATCATCCTCTCTATGGGGACCTGCTGGGTAAAGCCACAAGGAACCTGAGAACGGGCTCCCACATAGGTTAATACATTCTTAAAATATAAAAGCTGATTTAATACAGCAGTATTTTTATACTATACAATGTCTCTCTGCACCTATCCTGTGTTTTCAATAGCATTAAAAAATGGTTTTTGTCTTTTGACACAGGGTTTCTCTGTGTAGGTTTGGAGCCTGTCCTTGAACTTGCTCTGTAAACCAGGTTGGCTTTGAACTCACAGAGCCTGCCTCTGCCTCCCAAGTGCTGGGACTAAAGGCATGCAACACCACTACCCAGTGCATTTAAAAAATTTCAATTCATAAGGCATTGTGTAATCTAACTCTGGAAGTCTTGATGCTGACAGGGAATGATTGGTTCATATTTGATATTGGGGCCTCCAGCAGGCCCACTCAGGACATTTCCCAAATGGTTACTTTGTCCCTTAATAATCTGCATTCATCAGTTCAATGCTGGCCTTGGCCATACCTTCTCCACAACCCAGAAGGCTGGGACTTTCCTTTTGAATATCTGTAGTAAAAACCATAGGCTTTTCTACGAAGGGGCTTTACTCCTGAGCCACAACATTCCCTGCATTCTTTTAATGTTGCACTGTACACGTGTTTATTGCCATAACTGAGTTTTGGGTCCAGAAGCTCAAACTGGCTATTGAGCAAATCTGCCCCATTTCTGCCATCACCCCATGTTCTACACTGGTTATGTTTCCCATTCACAGTGAGCTTACACTCCTTGGTGGATACTTGTGATGTAGGTGGCATATTGGACGTTGTAACATGTGAGGTGTTGCAGAGTAATGGGAATCACAGGGAGAGTATAGGGAGCCATAGTGTGATAAGGCTGGCTGAGCATCATTGGTAAGGTCTCAGGCTGATCTCCCAGTCTGGGAGGAGTCCTGGTCATCACCCTGCAGGCTGGAGAAGTTGGTCAACCAGGCTTCAGCTTGGAGAGGTGAATGATGGAAACTGAATGGCTGAGCTGTGTCCTCAACAGCACTGAGCCTGTATCAACTGAATCTATAGCAAGACACAACCACACACCTCTGCACCTAAATCAAAACCCCACCTTCAGTAGTCATAAACGGCAGAAGTAGGGACATGTCCCTGAGGCACCATGTCCAGGCTGGATCCAGCAAGCTATCCCTCTCTGTACAGAGACTGTTTTCTCTATTCCCATCACCTAACCATGCTCCATAGAGCACTAGATTCTCTGCAGCAAGACTGTCATTTGTTCTCTCAGTGCCCCCTCCTCCTCAGAGCTGGCCAGGATACCCTGCTTCACCTTCAAAGCCTCCTTTAGCAAAAAGGCTTTTTGGCAAATGTTGTAAACTGGAGGGGGCAGGGGGTTCAGGAGCAGCCACCCTGAGCCAGGGAGAAACCAGGGACCTCTTCACTCAGCTACATTGTACAGGGTCCCAGATTCAGGACACAAGCTTGCCCAATTCAGAACTTGTATTTATATATCCCAAGTGCTAAAAATTTTCTCAATATTTGGGGAGGAGAAAATCCAAATAAATAATTATTTTGTGACCCTTGAAGGGACTCTAGATCATACTTTGATATTCATCAAATCTTGGCATCCAGATTGGACTCTAGAGGAGGGGAATATTCAGCTTCTAGGGATTTGAATTAGATCTTAGGTAAAACAAAGTGCAAAAGGACTTGAATGTATAGGGCCAGAATGACAAATTGGAAAATTAAAGCAATATGTGGCTAATACACTTAGGAATGTATGGGTATGTGATCCCTTGCAATGAAAAACACATGTTATAATGACTCAAGGCCCTGTCTACTACACAGAAATCAGACACAGGTCAGAAAATACTTTTGTGTATTTGGCCATTCATAGAAAGCAACCATGCCTCCCCTCCCTGTTCTTATGGTCCCTGTTGGGACATCTTGGGGAACTCTAGAGTCTGGAGTTGCCTTGCCATGCCCAATAACCCATAAAGTCAACTTCGAGTATAATATCAATTTATGGGATGCCCAACTTTGACCTGTGATCTCCACACATGCACATTCACATAAAGAGCACACACATAATCATACAACTGAGAGCATGTGAGACGATTCTGGGGGTAAAGAAACTTGCTGCCAAGCCTGTTTTTCTACCTGAGATCCTTCCCTGGGATCCACATGATTAAAGGAGAAAATGGGTTCACATAAGTTGTCCTTGGGCCTCCACACATGCATACCCTTACCCCTACATTAACAAATACATGCCATCTTAAAAACTTTATGAGTGCATATGGGAAAGTGAGTTCAAATCCTGGTTTATGATCCTTTTACTGCCTTGTGACTTTGTGAGAGTGGTGTCACCTCCCTGTGCCTATTATTCAGAGAGATGTAAGTACAGCACACTTGTTACCCTGGTAACAATAATGAGTTGGTGCATCAATACCCAGAACTGCATTAGTCCGGATTCTCCTACTTTTTTCTATGCTTGAGTTTCTCATGTGAGAAGTGGAAGGATTTTGCAATATCTTGCTATCTGGGAGGTTTTTGAGTTTTGTATAATCTCAGGTTAGTGTGCCCCCACAGTGAGCAGGAGGGAAGCCTCCTTTTTGCCATTCTTCTAGTCCTTGTCCAGGGACTGCTGGGCACAGCTCTGGCCCTGGCATGCTCACTCACCCTCTATAAGAAGCCATTGAAGTTGCAGCTGAACCATGATAGTGTGGGCCTAGGTGGTGTATATCTTTCTTCATTAACAATGCCTCGCACTGCATTTGTGGCTGTAGCCCACATAAGACTCTCAGGACACTTCATTCCCAAAGGGGATTAGATCCTGGGCCTCTTCCCATCCTTTCACACTGAATTGATGGCATACCATTTCAAGGAAGGTTATGGATTCCAACCTGAGCCTAGGAATATTCTGATCTTGAAATGCACCTCTGGCTACTAGCTGTGTGTCCACAAATTCATAGTTAAGCCTCTCAGTGCTCTGGCTTGCTCAATCAGAAGTCCAGCCATGTTCTCCATGTACTTAGGCAACTGAGGCCAATGGGCAAGATTCAAGGGCTATAGTGTGAGTTCCAGACCAGACTAGGCAACTGAGATAAACTCTGTCTCTAAACACACACACAATTTCTTTTAACAAAGGTTTTTATTTGTTTGCAATTTTTTGTTTGTTTTAGGGACAGGGTTACATGTGGACATCAATGTTTTCATCTCAGATGGCTCTCATTGCTCAGCATATACAAGACTTCTGCAAAAACAGGGAATGGTAGTGAAACCTATCATCTCAGTAACTGGAGGTGGAAGGAGAAAGGTCATGAGTTGAAGGACAGCCTGAACTTGATGAGCCTGTTTTAAAAACAAAACCCAAAACTAATAATTAACATAAACATTATCAGGGCTCAGTGGATGTTATGGCATGGTTCAGCAGGTAAAGGTGCCTGCAGTCAAAATTGATGGATGTGCTTTGGTCCATAGGACCCAAATGGTAGTAAGGGAGGACTGGGTTGTGCAGGTTATCATCTGATTTCAAATTATACTGTGCATGTGCAATCACAAAGGCAACAATAATAAAATAAATCTGAAAAGAAATAGGGATGAGAGATGGTTTAGTAGTTTAGTACCTGGCGTGGACTCCTAGGTAACCATTTCTGCTTGACAAAGTCCCAGCATTTCCACATTGCAGATTTTAATTCTCCAGCATCTTTTTACTTTCCATTTAAATAATTCTCACTATGTTATGGAGTTTCCTTATTCCTTTTGCTGCGGAAATTTTTTGTAGGCTACAATAGAGGGTGGGGATATATACAACAGCAATCTCTCTAAACAAAATTGTTGGAAAAAAATCCCATCACCATGGAACCATACAGTGTGATAACTTACGCCTACTCCCAGACAAGAATCCCCATTGTGTACCCCTGATTACACCAAAAATAGAAAACTTAATGATTTACTAACTGGATACACCCCGTTCCAAGTATGAAAGCACATTATGAAAGGAAACAATGTGCTCACATCCAGAAAGGCATTTAAAAACTTGCTGAAGTAATTGCTTTTGCCTAAAGAAAAATCTTGTGATAAGGTTAATGGCTGTTTTCATCATGGAATCATTAAGTCTCCTTTCAATCTTGCTTGAGTCTAATGTTCAGTTATAGAGTATAAAGGGTATAGTTGTTTTTCAATAAAGCAGCAGTTAAGCTAATTCAACCTCAAATCATGGCAGTCTCCTTCCTTTCTCAATCTCTTGGGGACCTGGACCCCTATAGAGCTTGACAAAACAAGTACCTCTTGTAGAAAACACACTTCAGTTTCCAGCACCCACATGGGAGTTCACATCTGAAATTACCACACTGATTACATCCATATGGTACTGTCCAGTATGAATTTTATCATGACTAAGAAGATGACTCTTCATTGTAAAGGCTTCATTACATTAATTATATTCATAAGGTTTCACTCCAGTATGAATTTTAATCGAGTATGAATTCTTTCATGACGGAGAAGACTACACTTCTGGATAAAGGCTTTACCACACTGATTACATTCATAGGGTTTCTCTCCTGTATGAATTCTTTCATGGCTGCGAAGACTACTCTTCCCTGAAAAAGCTTTACCACATTCATTACATTCATAGGGTTTCTCTCCACTATGACTTCTTTCATGACTGTGAAGACTACTCTTCTCAACAAAGGCTTTTCCACATTGATTACATTCATAGGGTTTCTCTCTAGTATGAATTCTTTCATGACTGAGAAGATAATTCTTCCATGCAAAGGCTTTATAACATTGACTACATTTATAGGGTTTCTCTCCAGTATGAATTCTTTCATGACTGTGAAGACTATTCTTCCGTGCAAAGGTTTTACCACATTGATTACATTCATAGGGTTTTACTCCAGCATGGATTCTTAAATGCCTAAGAAGATACTTCTTCAGTGCAAATGCTTTATCACATTGATTACATTCATAGGGTTTCTCTCCACTATGACTTCTTTCATGATTGTGAAGACTACTCTTCTGTGCAAAAGCTTTACCACATTCATTACATTCATAGGGTTTCTCCCCAGTATGAATTCTTTCATGGCTAAGAAGATTATCCTTCATTGCAAAGGCTTTACCACACTGATTACATTCATAAGGTTTCTCTCTGGTATGAATTCTTTCATGACTGAGAAGACTACTCTTCTGTGCAAAGGCTTTGCCACATTCATTACATTCATAGGATTTTTCTCCATTATGATTTTTTAGATGAGTGAGAAGATAACTTTTATATGCAAAGGTTTTACCACATTGATTACATTCATAAGCTTTCTCTTCAGTATAACGTCTACTTTGAATTTGAACATAAGTGGGACATGCAAAGGCTTTATCACATTGCTGATATTCATACCTTTTCTCCTTAGTTTGAATTCTATGGACTTGATGAAGACTGTGACATTCAAAAGCTTTATAACTTTTATTATACTCATAGGGTTTTCCTTCCAAATGAGTTCTTTGGTGTACTTTTAAAGACCAATCAGATCTAAAGGCTTTAGCTTGTTGATTACATTTATAGAGATCCTCTTCATTATTGTTTTTGGTGTGTGTTTGAGGATGTCTGTAATGGCTAAAGCCTTTAGCAGATGACTCACATTTATTATTTTTTCTTTCCACATAAGCTTTTCTACAACTTTGAAGAGAATCTGAAGAATATAGAGTTTGAACACACTGATTACATTCATAACATTTTCTTAAACTATGAGGCACACTACATGTGCACAGTGAACCAGTAGAGAGAGATGAATTTCCACATTCCTGGTACTCATAAGGTTTTTCTCCAATGTGAGTTTGTTGATGAATTCCCACTGAAGTTGGAAAACCAATTAACTGTAAGCTTGTATCACAGTCATCATGTCTTCTCATAGTGGGGACAACCACATATCTTTCAGTTGTTCTAAGACAGACAGAATTACAATGTTTCTTTTCATGTCCCTTATGCTCACATGGCTTGTATCGAGAGTGACAGATGATACACCTGGTAAAGAAAGATAACAAAGGATTTTCACATTGCATTCACATAGTTGAACATTTGTGTGTGTATGAGTGTGTGTGTGTGTGTGTGTGTGTGTGTGTGTGTGTGTGTGTCACACAGATGTAGAAGAGGGATGTATGTTTCTACACTAAGACAATGTCCTGGTCTCTCATAAATTGCTCCTCTCATTAAACTATGCTAGGTCACACACTAAAAGGACATGAGGAACACTAGCTTTAATATGGAAGCTTTGCTTATAAAAGGTTTTGGATATACATTAATCCTTTCATCAATGTATATACCTTATATGATAATTGAATGGCATAACAGGAAGTTGACGGACAGTTCTAAAACATGCCTCACACATGGCTATGATTAAAGCTGTGACATTCATTATGCCACTATTTCCTTGTCTTGTTTTAAAGGAATGCTTTGCAAACACTGATCAGCTATTTGACTTTGGAGTACATAGTGTGGTGTGAATTTAATAATCATCACAAAGCTATACTTATTTATACAGTTGCTTTTCATTAAAAGTTCAGGGCATATTAACATTTCTTCAAACATACATATATATCAGCTTGTACATGAAAATTACCTTCCATTTCTTCTAGAGTTCTGACAATGTTTTTCAATATTACAGTCTTCCCATTTGTAACCTAAAATAAAGTGCCAGAAAATGTATGTGATATATTACTGGAAATTAGGCCCACTTAAAATTACTATTTTTCATGAATCTAGTATCATGCCTGATTTATTCACCAGATCCTTCCCCTTTCATATTCAAAATCACAGAAGCGCACCAATCTCCAAGAAAAGTTTGTCCCCTTAAGTTAAAAAGTGACAGAAAGCTCACATTCTTACCTATACAAGTGAGGTTCCAGTAGGTTTCCAGCATCACATCTTTGTAGAGACTCTTCTGGGAAGGATCCAGCAAAGCCCACTCTTCATGAGTGAAGTTCACACGCACATCCTCATAGGTCACTGCATCCTAAAGTATCCCATACATGTACATAATAGAAATGGTGAGACTGACTGCATTGCAAATGTATACTTCATTGAAAATATATTTACATAATTCTATGTGCTTGATACATTCTATGACCTGGGTCAGTAAATATCAAATGCAGTCACCAACTCATTTTGAAAGGAAATATCAAGAGAGAATGACACCTTTCATTTCACTGTCCACAGAATAGATTACGGCACAAGCAGGAGAAATGCCTAGGAATTTATACAGAGAGACATGCAACCTGAGTAACACTATTTAGTATACATCAGCAGAACTTTATCAAAATTATTAACTTCAAGAAAGGATAGACAATAAGGGTGCAGTGGTGCACACCTCTAATCCCAACCCTTGGGAGGCAGAGACAGGTGAAATTTGTGATTTCCAAGCCTGCCTGGTTTATGGAGAGATTGCCAGGACAGCCAAAGGTACATAGTGAGACCCTGTCTCTAACAAAAAAACAAACAAAAAAAAAAAAACAAAACAGAAATCACTCTGGCCTCACTCAAAATTCCTCCACAGAATTAAACATTTATGCCAGTTCTGCACTTGTCTATCATAAACTAGAGTGACCCCTATTGAACTGTAAGGCTAATAATTCCCAGGAAGCAAAGCATTTTCAAGAAGTTACTGACTGACAGATCAATGAGTTCTCAAGAACACTAGTAAAGTAAATGCTGATCCTAAAACAGTAAAACAAACACCAAAAGGGAGGGAGTATGTGAAGATGGGTCAACAGATAAGATCACCTGTTGTGTCCAGCTATGGTGGCACCCACCTTTAGTCCCAGTACTTGGGAGGCAGAGACAAGCGGATCTCTGTGAGTTCAAGCCTGTCTACAAAACAAGTTCCAGGGCAACTAGGTCTGTTATACAGAGAAACCCTGTCTTGAAAAATCAAGAAAAAAAAATCAACTATTGCTTTTGAAGAAGTCTGAGACCAGTTCCCAATACTCACTGGAGGTTAGAGACTATTCCTAATTCCAGGCTCCAGGTCAAGAGAATCCAATGCTCTCTTCTGGCATCACTAAATGCCAGGAAGGCAAGTGGCACGTGCGCGCGCGTGCACACACACACACACACACACACACACACACACTTCAGACATTTGAAAACATAAAAATATAAAAACATACACTAAGGGAGGGACAATATTACACACCCGAAATTCAGTGATTCAAGAGATTATTATTAATTTCAGGAATGCATTCTTACTCTGAAAAATGACAAACCTGCCAATGTTCAAAAGTCATGAAGTGGGTAAAGTTAAGCACAAGAGCAAATGCTTGACATGTACAAAAACATGATTAGATCCACCAAAAACATAAACATAAAAATATAAGGCAAAAAATATGGACTGGCAAGGAAAAGCAGTTGCTTCTATATTACCTTACATTATTTAAGAATGGAGTCTTTACTGATGGTGATGGCATGCCTACATGAGAAGGAAGGAGGCTACTCACTTTCAATAAAACAAAGAAATGTGGTGAGACTATATTCCTCCAGAAAGGCTCCTTCGCATAAGGGTTTTATAAGTCACCAATGAAGGCTCACACCAAAGACAAATGCTCAAACTCAGCACACTACCTGGAAGATTTTTCATTCAACCCTCAACATTTTGACACAGGTCATGACAGGCTCAAGTCAAACCATGATGCAAAATGCATTTAGTCTGATTTCAAAGATCCCCATATTATGTAATAGTCCCAATACTGTTTGATTGTCCACAGTTTCTTCTGACACATAAGGCAATCTTTGACTATGACCTAATGTAATATCAAAACATGAATCATATCAACCCAACATACAATTGCACAGAATATACATTTCCCTTTAAAGGAATTAAGGAGAGATTGGCAAGTCTGAAACCATGAAAGGCAAACACCAATTCCTGAAGCTCTGTGTCTGGTACCTGGGGCTTTCAGTTTCAAAGAGCTTACAAGGTTCTTTCTGCAAGTTCTCATACATCTCTCTCTTTGGCTACTTCTACTTCCTACATGCAGCTATTAATGGCATGTGTCTCAAAAATTGAGTATCTCAATATACTGTTACCTCAAAAAAATGAAACTGAGGCTTTATCTCATGGCTTCATGCAAGGAAGTCTAACAATCTCTTCACTGGTGCCCACAACCTCTAGCCTCAATACTAAGGTTGTAGGTTATTATTATCTTTAAGACAGGGTATCCTATAGCCCCAAGTGACCTTGACTGCCACTTATAATCTAGATGGCCCTGAACTTGATATTCCTGCCTTAATTTCCAAGTGCCAATTTATAGGCACAATCCACCACTCTGGGCTTTAGAGGTGTAGTTTTTGTTTGTTTGTTTGTTTTGTTTCTTTTTTAAACTAATTTTTTTAATTCATTTTACATAGCAATCACAGAACCTGCTCTCTCCCCTCCTCCTCCTTCAGGTTTCCCCCTCAACCCACCCCCCATTCCCTCCTTCAAAAAAGTAAGGTCTCCCATGAGGGGTCAGTAGAGCCTGGTACATTTAGTTGAGGCAGGTCCAAGCCTCTCTCCTGGCATCAAGGCTCTGCAAGTTGTCCCACCACAGGTAATGGGCTCCAAAAAGCCAGCTCATGCACCAGGAATGGATCCCAATCCTGCTGCCAGGAGGCCTCTTAACAGATCAAGCTACACAATTGTCTTGATTATGCAGAGGGCCTAGTCTAATTCCATGGAGGCTTTACAGCTGTTGGCCTAAAGTTCATGAGTTCCCACTAGTTTGGTTTGGTTGTCTCTGTAGGTTTCCCCATCATAATCTTGATGCCTCTTCCTCATAGAATCCCTCTTCACTCTCTTTGACTGGACTCTTGGTACTCAGCCTGGTGCTTGGCTGGATCTCTGCATCTGCTTCCAGCAGTTACTGGATGATGGTGGGTGTATGACGACAGTTAGGGTGGGAGAGTAATGAAAGAGTTACCATGATAGGGCCGGGCAGTGGTGGCGCACACCTTTAATCCCAGCACTTGGGAGGCAGAGGCAGGCAAATCTCTGTGAGTTTGAGGCCAGCCTGGGCTACCAAGTGAGTCCCAGGAAAGGCGCAAAGCTATACAGAGAAACCCTGTCTCGAAAAATCAAAAAAAAAAAAAGAAAGAAAGAAAGAAAGAGTTACCATGATAGAGGGAAACATGGGGATAACGAGAAGCCTGGTATTAGGAAGTTCCCAGGAATCCACAAGGATGACAACAGATTAGACTACTAGCAATAGTGGAAAGGGTGGCTGAACGGGCTTAACCCAGTAATCAGATTGGTGAATACCTGAACTATCATCATAGAGCCTTCATCCAGTAACTAATGGGGGCAGATGTAGGACTGGAGTTTTTAAAGTGGTTAGAGCAGGGCTTCCTCATTCAGTGACACAAAGGAAATAAGGGACACATGGGAGGTGACCATTCATGGCAAAGGGAAATACAGGTGCAAAGGCCCTGAGGTGATAATGTGCTTGACAACTCAAGCACTGAAGCATGGTTACAGCAGTGTCAACAGAGAACCAGGAAAAACAGTGGACTTGGGAGGAGTTTATTTTGCAAGGACCTTTACTGTCAGGACTTTGGTTTTCAGAATAAATAATGTGTATAGCAACATGACCTAAATTGTTGTTTAGATCTCTGGCACTTCACAGATGGCTTAGTGGTTATAGAGCACCCCCACCTTTTCCAGAAGATCCAGGTTTGATTCCTTGCAACCTCATGGAGACTCAATGATCAGAACTCCAGTTCCAGAAGATTCAGTGCCCTCTTCTGGCATTCTGAGACTGCAGGCATTCACATGGTACATGGACATACATACAGGAAAAGCACCCATACCTATACCACCAATAATTTTAAAAAAATGAAATAAAATAAAAGGCCTGACTGCTGACTTGAAACAAAAATGTTTGGAGAACTAGAGATCTGGGGGATCAGTAGAATCAGATCACTTAGGGTCATTGCATGGCTCAGTGGTTACCAGCACTTGATGCTCTTCCATAGGGCCTGGGTTTGTTTCCCAGCATGTACAGCATACAGGTGGCTCAGAATCACCTCTAACTCCAGTTCAAGGTGATCAAACTCTGTTCTGGCCTACATGGCACCAGGAATACATTCTGTACTCAGTCATATAAGCAGGAAAATCATTCACAGATAGCAAAATTATAATTTAAATCCTATTAAGAAGAAAAAGACCATAGGATCTGAGGATGTAGCTTGGTTGGAAGCATACTTGCCTAGCATGCATGAATCCCTCAGTTCAATTCCTAGTCTATAAAGAGGACAAGGATAGTGTGGTAGTTAGTAAGAAAATGTCCCCTAAAGAGAGTGACACTATTAGAAGGTGTGGCATTATTAGACTAGGTGTAATGTTGTTGTAGAAAGTGTGTCACTGTGGAGGTGAGCATTGAGGTGTCATATATCCTCAAATTTCTGCTAACTTCCTGTTCCCTGCAAGATGTGGGATTCTCAGTTAATTTTCCAATACCATGTCAGCCTGCATACTGCCATGTCCTACCATGATGATAATGGAATAAACTTCTGTCTTGTGTGTGAGCCACCCCAATTAAATGTTTTCCTTTATAAGGATTACCATGGTAATGGTGGCTCTTCACAGCAATAGACACCCTAACTAAGATCAGAATGCCTGTCATCACAGCACTTGAGAGGTGGAGGTAGAAAGATCAGAAGTGCAAAGTCATTCGTGGGTAAATGGAGTTTTTGGACAACCTGTGCTATGAGACCCTGCCTCAAGAAACAAGAACACAAAAGAAATTGCCAAGAAATCCCAGGAAAAATTAGAGCAAAGCACTTGGGATACATGTCACAAAAGAGTTATGAAAGGCCACAAATCTGGAATAGGCATTGATTTCCTTCATAGTAAAAACAAAACAAAACAAAAACAAAACCCAAAAAACAAAAACAAACAAACAAAAACTGTTATTCTGGACTTGGGAACTGACCTCTGTCTTCAGGAATCTCCATATGCACCATTACAGCTCAGTCATCTTT